AAAATTTGGGGCCACTAGATTACACAATATTTAAAGATAGCTAAGATAAATTAAAAAAAAAATGCAGCAGCTAGAGCACTTTTGATTCTGAAGACTTGGATAAACTATTAAGATGCCACAGCTTGTGGCTTATTCAGCTCTGATTTCACATCCCATTGAATCATCATCATTACTTTAAAACTAAGATTATACTCCAAGATTAATATAATAATTTATGAGATTAACATGCTAGTTAATTAAGATTATAAAATAATATGCACACTTAACCACAAGAAAGACAATGGAATAGCATAATGAGCCTCACATGCACCACTTTTGAGAATTATTTGAGTGGGGATTTAAATATATATCTCTCTTTTTTTGACCAAATTTCTCATTTAAAATTATTCCCTCCTTAATCCTCTCATTTCCTTTGGAAAGAAGATTGAAGGATTGAAAATGCAGCACTTCGAATTTTAATTTAATTGATTGATAAAATTATATATATATATATATCCAACAAATACGGGTTTTCCTTTTTGACTTCTTCAGAGTCAGTCTCTCTGTCTCTGCCCCAAATTTGTCAGATTACCTGCCAGTGAAATTATCACAAGTAATACTATTTGGTAAATTATTTTATATCTTGAAAAATTAATTCAACTTTTTTTATTTTATGGGTGTTCGACCACCGACTCCTTGCTTTAAACCTAATCTTTAACGACCTTATTGGATGTTTACAAGTTTTCTTGCATTATATTTCCACCGATCCCATGTCTGTTCTGCAATTTTTCTTTATGATGACAATTATTTCGCCCACAAAATGGAGTTTCATATTGTATATATTAATCTTTCCTTTCATATAACTATAAATATTCTTCTTTTGTCGTTTCTATCATTTTTGAATTCAGCCTCTTGTTCTTTATAATTGGAAAACCTTGGTGGTATAAATATAACATTATTCATGCAAATTTAACAAATATTAGTTACTGCACTATTTTACTGTAAATATCACCTTAGGACAAGAAAGTGACAGGAATTACCAAGAGTTAGAGAACCTGTCCAGTAGACTTTCCATCTCCAATGGAAATAAGTAATAGTGGTATGATTTATTAATATCTCTGTTAAATTTTTTTTCTTTGGTCTGTGTCCTTTTCTTTCTAGTTTTAAGGAATCTACAATCCTTACATAAGTGGGGTAAAATCTATTAAGTCCTCAGGGTAGGTTCTCAGGGTCCGCTATGGATAAACATATTTTTTCTTGGGGGATAAAACTTTCCTATTTGATGTTTAGGCCCTAAAGAGGATACGGCATAGTGATTCATCATTCTGAGTGATGGGTATTAGTGCACCTACTTTAATTCTTGCTGTAATTCATGTTATTGTCTAGGGTCCAAAGAGTAAAAGCCTGGCTTTTTAGGCTCTATTCGAGTGTCCGATTGAAAGCTGTCACTGTACCAAAAAATTTTTGTTTTATGGTTTGATCTATGGAAACAAATTTTCATTCTAACAATAGCGTACTTCCCTCATTATCTGTAAATGCTTATGCAGAAATGTAAGCTGAAAATTATGAGTTAAAAGGAAAAAACTAAGCTATATTCTTTGAATCCTAGCTAAGGAATGACATGGTTCGTTCAAAACCAACTACCTGAATTAAGAAGGATGAAAGGGTTGAGATGAATTGAATGGCCCCAGCAAATTGAATGAGTTAGCAAGGTACTGAAGAAGTAGAGTGGCTGAGTGGGGGTGCAGTGCAGGGCTGGACATGGACTGTAGGCACCAAACTAGCCTGAGTGGCTGAGTCCCATATGACTTTCTCCACAAAATTTGACCAATGTCTGCATTTGTTGGTACCCCAAGGTCAGTGTCCTATCATCCGTGTTACTGAGTGGTTGAGGAGTAGCTTTTTTCTCCATCGAACACTGATGATGGGTTCCTAAGTCATTAATTTTTGCTCTGGTGTCTTGCAGAGATAGAAAAATTAGGAGTAATTGAATCGATTGGCATACTCTACAACCTTAAAGCACTGTTCCTCCAACAACCTTTTTCAATTTCCCAACATTTTTGCTGTATCATTCAGAAAAAACCATTAATAATTTCTAATTATCAATATATAATCTGACATTTAAAAAAAAAAAGACAAAACAGTGTTTGATTCATGAAAAACCATGAAGAAAATGGAAATGACAGGTTACAGATATCAAGTTATTTTCAAATATGTTTCATAAATTTCTATTACTACCCTAAATGCATGCTAAACATTCAAATAACATAGAAAGAAACTTTGCCATTTTAATTCCGCAAAACCAAACAAAATCTAACTTTCCGACCTTTCTAATTTCTTTCTTCTTCTATTTTCCGACAAAGCATCAGTGCAAATAATTTAAAAAAAAAGGAAAATTTTACTAAATACTTTCTTCACAAAATTTTGAATAATAAGTACTTATTATTTATTGAGACTTGGATAAATTTAATCTCAAAGCAATGTTATGACGAAGTAAAAAATCCCTTCTGCCATTGACGAAGCATGACGCATTTAAGGATCTTATTACCAAATTAAGCAAACTTGGGTTCTTGCGTAAAACAAGTGTAGTAAATGAAAAAGGAGCTGTAAATGCTGTTTTGAAAGGGGGCTAGGAGCCTAGTACAATGACAAGTAGACAAATGCCCGTGGGTACAGGCCTAAAGCGCAAAACTGAACCTTGCCAAAGAGGCTTTGCAGAGCAAAAAAACAGCTCCGTAAGCGTGAAAAGAGAGAAAGATATCAATACCACTTTATTTTTCCTCATTTTTTTAGTACTCTTTGTGTATTATGCTGAGAAGTAAAGCTTTAAAATAAAAAGGAAAAGCAATTTCAGGGAATTTTTTCGGTGTCAGGTTTCTGTAAACTATATTGTATCTCAAGCCATCAGAAAAAAGACCTTCACTCAATTGCGTTTTTGCATTAAAAATAAAACAAAGGCGTGATTAAAGTTCTGTAACATATAATGTGGAGTTATAATACAGTTGATGTTGGCAGCTGAGAGTACTCTGACTGGAATATCAAAATGACTACAATTTTAGAGAAGAAGATTGTTTTATTTCTAAAATATTGGTTCATTTGCTGTCATTTTCTATAAAGAATCAAATTTAGAGGGAATCCTCAGATTTGTGAAAAATGATTTCCTGACAAGTGTTTTTTTTTTTTTTTAAGAAATTTCAGTTGCATGTAAAATATTACTACTAGGATAGCATGAGTAATGTATTTTTTTTATTAGAGAAATTGCAATTTGATAATAGAATAAAATATTGCATATGTTAAAAATTGGCTAAATCAATAAAAAAAATACTTTGAATTTTATCATTTTATTTAGATAAAATTTTATAATTTTATTGCATTCAAATAAACTTTTAAATACGAATTTATTTGAATATAAATTAAAGAATAAGAGTTTATTTGAATATAATAAAATATATGAGCTTATTTAATAAAAGTCAAATAACTCATATTTTTTAAAATATTTGTCTTAAAATTTGAATTTAAAATTTATTATATGTCATTTTTAAATATAATTGTATAAATTAATTAAATTAATTTTTTATTCCAAAAATGTCCATTTGCATGTGCACATGAAATTTTCTTTTTTTTTTTCTTCGTTTACCCAGAATTAATGGTGGGAATTGATGAGATCTTAGCTGTTGGATCTGACAAACTATTGTTGGACCATATCAAGTTGGTATTTTACTTGCTTAATTTACAAGAACTAGAATGTTTGAGGGAGTTTCCTGGTTAAGGACAAAAGAATCCTAGTTGTTTAGCTTGAAAAACTTACCTATAGTTTTAATTGACACTTTTTACCATCAATGTTTTTAGGTGAGGATCTGTACTAGCTTTCATGTTTATATATCTAAGGTTAATAAAGACTGGGGTTGAAAACAAAAATCCAGACTTGAGATCCAATTATTCAATAAAAAAGTATTATGTTTAAAACGGTTAAAGTGATCCCATCAGATTTTCTTTTTGTTTCCTTGTTAAATGGAGAATTATAAGCATAAATAAATTTATATTTATATATGAGCTCATTGTAATTTGCAAGCATTTTTACTACTGTTTACCTTTCAACCTGATTTGAAGTATCCTTATCAGGATACCTAAAATATTTAAAGCCACCTTTATAGATGACAAGATTAAGCCTCAAGATTACTCCTTATTCCTTAATTAATGTTATGTATTGAAATATTAAGGCCAAGATATCATAAAGCTTTGCTTAGTGGACAAATAGTATTATTGCACTTAATTAATAATAACATGAGTGTTTTATACTTAATCTTCACATCCCTATGTACCAATATCATTGAATTTATATTTTATTTGTAAAGTTTAAGTTCAATTTTTACTGTTTTAAAATAAGATAATTTTCTTCATTTAATATTTTTTTCATAAAAAATAATTCAATTGATAAGTATGTGTAATTAACCTTTTCCACCCAAGAAAACTATGGTATCCAAAACATCCTACCATTGAAATATAGATCTTTCGTATTGAATTTTTTGAGAAAGATTTTTGGTATGTTAATCATGGACAGAAAGAGGAGTTTCAGTTCATTGTTACATGTGACAATGTGAAAGCTTTTTAACGTATGGTTTTTAAGATAGAAGGGTTAGAAAAAGACGGCGGAATTAAAGGAGATAGACAGACAATAACACAAGGAGAAGAATTCAAGATATTTTAATGCTGAACCGAACTTAGCTAAGTTATTCATGTAATTATTTATAAAAAATAATATTTAATAAATTTAAATTTAAATTTAAAATCTTGTAAATTTTTTAAATTATAAAAAAATTTTAATGGTTTGAACAGAAGAAAAAAATTTATTGTACAAGCCATTGAGCAATGTACTTGATGAACTGTTCATATATTATTATTCATTAAAAAAACAATAAAGTAGTAATAAACATGAACAGTAATAAGATTGATGACTGATAGTAGTACTAAAAAAAATTGTTAAATTGGTGTTTCATTTTTCAACAGTTGGAAGCTGTTTTGGTCAAAATCCCATCTCTAAGAATTCACACAGCATGGTTTTGTCGGGTGGAAAATCCCTCTCTTTTGCATCTTCTGTCACTTTCCGTGTTTTTTCCACAGCAAGCAAACTGAAACAAGGAAAAAAGCCCACTCAACCGCTAACAGTTGATTTTTAAAAACAACAGCAAAACGTTGGAGTAAAAACTTAAGGGAACAACCGATTATCAAGAAAGGTGGGGGGTTAAACAGAGAGAGAGAGAGAAGAGAGAGAGAGAGAGAGAAAAAAAAACAATGAGTTGAAAAGCCAGATAAAGAGTGGGAAGATAATAAAGAAGAGAGTTTTAGGGGGGGGGGGGGGGTTGGGTGTGTGTTTTGTTCATAAAGCTAAGGAATTTGCAAATGTCACTAGAGTCTGAGGAGATAAAGACGATTGAGCAGTGGAAGTGGTCCGAAATGCAAGGCCTTGAACTTGTGCCTCCTCCTCCTTCTGACCCTTTAAAAACCAACCCATCAACCCCTTCTCCAACGATAACAACAACAAGAAACACTCACTTAACAGAACAACCAAAAGAGAAACCTCAACAGCCAGGTCGAGCTGAAGCTGAAGCTTATCAAGAAAGTGTAGGAGAGAGAAGAGAAATGGAAAATTCTTCTTCTCCTGCTTCTTCTTCATCTGGGACAAAGAAGGATGGGAGTAATAATGGTAGTGGTGGAAGCGGAGAGAAGCCAGGGGATGTTCCTTCAGTTGGGTTTGGTGAACTATTTAGATTTGCTGATGGGTTGGATTGTGTGTTGATGGGAATTGGGTCTCTTGGTGCTCTTGTACATGGCTGTTCTTTGCCTATCTTCCTTCGTTTCTTTGCCGATCTTGTCAATTCTTTTGGTTCTAATGCTAATAACATGGACAAGATGATGCAAGAAGTTTTGAAGGTTTATATAATTTAAACCAAAATTTCATTTTATTTTTGTTAAGCTAAAGTATTTTCATTAAAAAAATAATAAATTTTCTTCCCTCTTGATTTATAGTATGCATTTTACTTCCTCGTGGTGGGTGCTGCAATTTGGGCATCTTCATGGGCAGGTTAGTTCATGATGGAGAAGACAGTTTTTTTTTTTATCCTTTTGATTTTTCGTTCAAAGTTCTTGGTGGTTTTGTTGATGTAATAATTGAAAGAAAGCTTGAAAATTGGTTGCAGAAATATCCTGTTGGATGTGGACTGGGGAGAGGCAAACAACGAAGATGAGGATCAAGTACTTGGAAGCAGCTTTGAACCAGGACATTCAATACTTTGACACTGAGGTTAGAACTTCTGATGTTGTGCTTGCCATCAACACTGATGCAGTTATGGTCCAGGATGCCATTAGCGAGAAGGTAAAAGCAGAAATATATTCTTAAAAAGGTTTTTCTTTTTTTCCTTTTTGGTGTCAAATTGAGCTCTGGTTTTTTTTTGTGGCCTGTGTTGTGCAGTTGGGAAATTTCATTCACTACATGGCAACATTTGTGTCTGGTTTTGTGGTGGGTTTTACAGCAGTATGGCAATTGGCTTTGGTCACACTTGCAGTGGTTCCTCTCATTGCTGTGATTGGAGCAATCCATACCACCACATTAGCCAAGCTCTCTGCAAAGAGCCAAGAAGCTTTATCACAAGGAGGAAACATTGTGGAACAGGTAAAAAAAAAAGCAAAATTTGAGTTTCAATTTGTCGGAGAAATAGATTAAAACCATTTTGTACTAAGTTTTCCCTCTGTTTCTTCATCTGGGTATTTCCTAATTGCAAGCTAAATTGCAGACAGTGGTTCAAATTCGGGTTGTTTTGGCTTTTGTTGGTGAATCAAGAGCATTACAAGCCTACTCCTCAGCATTGAGGGTTGCACAAAAGATTGGTTATAAGTCTGGCTTTGCAAAGGGAATGGGATTGGGGGCAACTTACTTTGTTGTTTTTTGCTGTTATGCTCTTCTTCTTTGGTACGGTGGTTATCTGGTTCGGCATCACTACACCAATGGAGGACTTGCCATAGCCACTATGTTTGCTGTTATGATTGGTGGATTGTGAGTACTCTGTTTTTACTTTTCTGTATTGCATTGATGTATAACTATGTTTTGCTCAAAGGTATATTTTTAATCGATAGGGGTTTGGGGCAGTCTGCACCAAGCATGTCTGCATTTGCCAAGGCCAAAGTGGCAGCAGCTAAAATTTTCCGTATAATTGATCACAAACCCAGTATCGATAGAAACGGTGACTCAGGTTTGGAATTGGAGTCAGTTACTGGTCTAGTTGAACTGAAAAATGTGGATTTTGCATACCCTTCAAGGCCAGATGTAAAGATCCTTAACAATTTCTCCCTAAGTGTTCCTGCTGGAAAAACCATAGCTTTGGTGGGAAGCAGTGGTTCGGGTAAAAGCACTGTAGTCTCCCTCATTGAGAGATTCTACGATCCCACCTCAGGTAAAAACTATGGTGTGAATGGTTTTCAACCTCTACATCCAACAACATTAAATCTTATCTCATTTAAAGTAAATGATATCATTAATGTTTTATGCCAATTGAAGTTAGTTTTATTTTTGAGTTTATGTATGTATTTTTGGGGGCATTGTATACTTGTAGGTTGGGAAAATCTCAGCTAAATATTGTACTTGTGCAGGAGAAGTGCTGCTAGATGGGCATGACATAAAGACATTAAAACTGAGATGGTTGAGGCAACAAATAGGACTTGTGAGCCAAGAGCCTGCTCTTTTTGCTACCACCATTAAAGAAAACATTCTTTTGGGTAGGCCTGATGCAAACCAAATTGAGATTGAAGAGGCTGCCAGAGTGGCTAATGCCCATTCATTCATTGTAAAGCTGCCAGATGGCTTCGACACTCAGGTTTGGTTTACTAATCTCAGATCATTCATTTGATATCAGTTTAATAATTGCTACCAGGCTGTATGCTTCATCAGGATTTCCTACCTTCTTCTGCAGCACTTGTCATTATATTAAGTGGTTGTCAATGCCTAATCTGATATACGGCTTAAACACATAAAAGCTCTGGTATAAGATAATAAGATCGAAATTAATGTTAGTGTTCGTGTTCTTCCATAAATACTGAACTATACTTACTAGCAGATTAGAAATGTATCTTTATATACCAGTTGGGCTGTTGACTTTATGGTAGTTGGGGATGGTGAGGGAATGAGCAAAGTAGGCACTAAGGAAGGTGAAATTTAATGATGGATCTTGACCGGAGGGGATCTCATTTGGTTAGACTTCTAATGCCTTATAGTTGCTTCATTTGGTCAACAAACAGAACCTAACTTACATTTATTATTTTGTACAATTTTTTTAAAGTCAAATTAGGAAAGTATTTGGTCATGCATGCACTTGTAAGAAGGTAACATGACTGACAGCAATGCATGTGCAGGAATAAGACCAAATTACTTAGAAGGGAGATGACCAAGCAGAGAGAAAAGAAAATGGGGATAAAGGAAAATAAAATATAAAGGCTTCCGAAATAAATAATTGCTGAATGTTCTATTTTAGTAGGAATATAGAAATCTACTGATAACTTGAGAATGACATGTGAGAAACAAATTGTGAAAAGAATAATTGGTATAAAATTACAAAAAATGTGTTGTTTGATGCAGAATTAATTAGACATAACCTTTTATTAAAGAAAAAAATAGAAGACTTGGGGTTAAATGAAGGGTTATTTTCCCCCTCGTTCAATTTGAGTGAGACTGTGGAGTCCCTTTAATTAGAACATATATATAGATAAGAACAATCAGCCAACATTTTAATAGTTGATGCACAAACAGTATTCCACACAAAATGATAATGTAATTATGCTTTATATAATTTAATTCATATGCCATTGGTAGCAAGGTGCAAAGAAATCTAATTGAAATTTCAGCCTGATAAAAATTTTCATGCTTTCATTTCTTTTGGAATTCTATCTTGTGATGAAAAGCAAAATAAAGTCGAGAAGAGAGATAAATTAACATGAAAGCATAAAGCAATTAGAGTTAATAATTCAGAAATGGCAGGTTGGGGAGAGAGGAGTTCAACTCTCTGGAGGGCAGAAGCAGAGAATTGCTATAGCCAGGGCAATGTTGAAGAACCCGGCAATCCTACTCTTGGATGAAGCAACTAGTGCGCTGGACTCTGAGTCAGAAAAGCTGGTGCAAGAGGCCCTTGATCGTTTTATGATTGGGAGGACAACTCTTGTAATTGCCCATCGCCTTTCCACCATTCGTAAGGCTGATCTTGTAGCTGTACTACAGCAGGGGAGTGTTTCTGAAATTGGAATGCACGATGAGTTGATTGCCAAAGGAGAAAATGGAGTCTATGCCAAGCTCATTCGAATGCAAGAGATGGCACATGAAACTGCCCTTAACAATGCTAGAAAAAGTAGTGCAAGGTAGCTTCCACAAGTCTGCATGTGTTTGTTAATATCTTATGAAGCACTATATTTTCTAGAATGTACCTGTTAACGTATATTGCTGCATGTTAATCTGAGATCTGTTGTCATGGTTCTTCTACAGGCCTTCTAGTGCCAGGAACTCAGTAAGCTCACCGATTATTGCCCGGAATTCGTCATATGGCCGATCACCATATTCACGCAGACTTTCTGACTTCTCCACTTCTGATTTTTCCTTCGAGGCATCACACCCTAATTACCGAATGGAAAAGCTTGCCTTCAAGGAGCAAGCTAGTTCCTTCTGGCGCCTTGCAAAAATGAATTCTCCTGAATGGGTTTATGCTTTAGTTGGTTCTATAGGCTCTGTTGTCTGCGGGTCTCTTAGCGCTTTCTTTGCATATGTGCTAAGTGCTGTTCTCAGTGTCTACTACAACCCAGATCATGCTTACATGAGTAGAGAAATTGGGAAATACTGCTATTTGTTAATTGGACTGTCATCAGCTGCCCTTCTCTTCAACACGCTACAGCATTTCTTCTGGGATATTGTGGGAGAAAATCTCACAAAACGAGTGAGAGAGAAGATGCTGGCAGCGGTTCTGAAAAATGAAATTGCATGGTTTGATCAGGAGGAAAATGAGAGTGCTAGGATTGCAGCGAGGCTGGCTCTTGATGCCAACAATGTCAGATCAGCCATAGGAGACCGGATTTCAGTGATTGTGCAGAACACAGCACTCATGCTTGTTGCTTGCACTGCTGGCTTTGTTTTGCAGTGGCGCCTTGCCCTTGTCCTTGTTGCCGTCTTCCCTGTGGTTGTAGCAGCAACTGTTTTGCAGGTTCGTTTCTAAAATTTATCCCTTGCACATGCATGATGTCATCAAGTATGAATTCCTACCAAAAATTGATCAATTAACTAATCTGATAATACCTCACAATTAAAAATGGTTATAAATTATGGTGAAACTGTTGCTGATAAGTGATAGTTTTTAGTTATTAGAACTTTATGCTAAACCAATTTCTATCTGCTTGTTGAGCTTATGTGATTGAGTTAATGCGATTCACAACTCCCAAGATTTTTGAAAATTTAATCAATCAGGCTTGTACAAGTTATGCCTTTTGGGGCAATATTGACCAGACATCAAGTTATTAACTGTATTTGTTGGATTTTCAACAGAAAATGTTTATGAAGGGTTTCTCAGGAGATTTAGAAGCTGCTCATGCCAAGGCCACACAACTAGCTGGAGAGGCCATAGCCAATGTAAGAACTGTTGCTGCCTTCAATTCAGAGAACAAAATTGTTGGTCTATTCTCCTCAAACCTTGAAACTCCATTGAGGCGCTGCTTCTGGAAGGGACAAATTGCAGGAAGTGGATTTGGGGTAGCTCAGTTTGCACTATATGCTTCTTATGCCCTTGGTCTTTGGTATGCTTCCTGGCTTGTGAAGCATGGGATCTCTGATTTTTCAAAGACAATCCGAGTGTTCATGGTTCTTATGGTCTCCGCCAATGGTGCAGCTGAAACATTGACCCTGGCTCCTGACTTCATCAAGGGAGGTCGAGCCATGAGGTCAGTCTTTGATCTTCTTGACCGTAAAACTGAGATTGAGCCTGATGACCCAGATGCCACACAAGTTCCGGACCGCCTTCGTGGAGAAGTTGAACTAAAGCATGTAGACTTTTCTTACCCCTCACGCCCTGATGTCCCAATTTTCCGTGACCTTAATCTTCGTGCCCGAGCTGGAAAAATTCTTGCCCTTGTTGGTCCAAGTGGATGTGGTAAGAGCTCCGTCATTGCACTTATACAGAGATTCTATGAGCCTTCATCGGGGCGTGTTATGATTGATGGAAAGGACATTCGGAAATACAACCTCAAATCCCTGAGAAAACACATTGCAATCGTGCCACAAGAGCCATGCCTCTTTGCTTCTACCATCTATGAAAACATTGCCTATGGTCATGAGTCAGCAACTGAGGCTGAGATCATTGAGGCAGCTACACTAGCCAATGCCGACAAGTTCATATCTTCATTGCCCGACGGTTACAAAACTTTTGTGGGGGAGAGAGGGGTTCAACTCTCTGGGGGACAAAAACAGAGAATTGCAATTGCAAGGGCTCTTGTGAGGAAGGCAGAGCTTATGCTGCTCGATGAGGCAACAAGTGCCCTTGATGCTGAGTCTGAGAGATCAGTCCAAGAGGCTCTAGACCGTGCCTGCTCCGGGAAAACTACAATTGTGGTTGCTCATCGGTTATCTACAATTAGGAATGCTCATGTCATTGCAGTGATTGATGATGGGAAAGTTGCAGAGCAAGGATCCCATTCACATTTACTTAAAAATTATCCTGATGGGTGTTATGCCCGGATGATACAATTACAAAGGTTTACACATAGCCAAGTTGTTGGAATGACTTCAGGCTCAAGTTCTTCATCAAAACCAAAAGATGACAATGACAGAGAAGGCCAGTGAACTTTTAAGAAATTAGTAGAAAAGGAGTATATCCCATATACCCCTTAAGATTTTTTGGGTGTTTACTCTGGATTTTAATGTTTTGATAATAGTATAATATATGTGCATTATCTATTTTTTTTCTTTTAACCCTATATGTTTTCTTCATGGATCTTTCTAAGGAAATGATAATGACAAATATAGTTCCTTTGAGATTGATTGAAACAGATTAATGTTGTACTTCCATCCTCAAACCATATGTATGCTGTTTGTCAACTCATTTCAAGATAAAAAAAGAGAGGATATGGCAAGAAAGTCAAGCCAATACTTGAAAAATAATTATGGGGAGGAAACACTGTAAAAGCAGGCCAAACATTATTTTAGCTGTCAAATCTTGCATGGAATCCAGTACATATCCGCGACAAATGATTAACTTTGATACATGTGATAATTCAATCACTTTCATAAGTTTGATCACATGGTAATGGATAATGTAATGGGGTTTGTGGTTGAAGACCTTAAGAGGAATGACACTTTTGGCATTTTCATCCATTACAATCCAACTTTAAGATGATGGATTCATGGCAAATAGGGGATTTATCCTATCCTGATCTCAACTGGGTATGTGAATATTAATGAGAGACCCAGTGGGGAACAAAAATAATTGAGTCTGAAACTCACATGGTGGTTGCTTGCTACATGTGCAATGAATCCACTTTACTAAGAGATAGAAAATGGAGGAAAAACATAAGAGTAAAAAATAAGACATAGACAAAGACCCAAAAGGGGATGGATATGAAAAGATAATAAAAGTCAGTCATGCTTCAGCCAGTATAGCAGCTAGTAGCGGACAAGCGTGAGAGAAAAAAGAGAGGGAAACTTGGACGGGAAAATGACAGAGAGATGATGGTGTTGGTTCATGCCTTCATGGCCTCTCATCTCATGGGATACAATGTGACCGTGTGGAGCCCTCAGCCTAATCTCTTTTGTTTGTTAAATGAAATATACAAGGATTCTAGTGGCCACAGATCCACTGATGGGCCTTCGCCGGAAAGACTTTTGCGAAAGAATTGAGTGCTGAGAGCTTTTTTAACTTTTGGGAAATTGGAGGTATATTGGAGGATGTCACTCTGCAAAGCACAAGTACTGAATGCAACTCTTGTTCCTTTGTCTACATTGGAAATGGCAATGACTAAAAACAAGAGAGACAGTGCTATCTCATACATATTGACATCGATGGTCAAAAACACTCTTACGGTAGGTTAAGATGATGGCAAACAGGAGATGCCAAAAACTCAGGCCGCAACCACCGATTCAACAGAGCACATTTATCAGAACTTGACAGGAGTAGGTTTCAAAAGTCCTAAAATTTGTAATTAGTTTGTGAAGCTTATATATCCTTGGCCTCAGCAATTGCTTGAAAACGAGAACAATGGACCTAAAGGAAAAACAAAACCAGAATCATAATCACATCAGAACAATGATTGGGCTCTAATGTCCAGCCTATTTGGAGGCAAGCCCATGTCTTAAAGTGCTATTTCCTTTCCTCTACTCGAGGGCAAAGGCAGAGAAACCATTCAGATAATGCTCCACTAGAAGGAAAGACGCTTGGAGTTTCGAGCTTTCCTTCTATCCAACATAATTTATTTGAAGACAAGAAATGCCCAGACAAGCTCCAAGATTGAGCATCCGAAGATATTAACCACGTTCCATCTATAAGCAGCATGATATTATGGAGGCAACTTAATATATCTAGAGGCAAATCAGCAGGCTTTTCATGCACCAATCAAAACCTTCAAGAATGTAGACCATCAACAGACAAGCATACATGCCATGATTCTGAACCCTCCAAAAAAAGTTAATATTAATATATTTCAAGGGAAAGAAATGGAGCATGTTGTCGCATTTCTAACTAGGAAATGCATCATAATTCACAACCCTCTTTCCTATAACTGTTTTACTGTCCAATACTGCTAGATACACAATGAAGAAAGATCTAATGCAGCATATGAACTTCTTAACTCGCTTAATCCTAATAAGCTACACTTACCAGTATCCTTCTATCAAGCACCAATATTTAAGGCTCATAAGTATTCTTTAAGCTACAAATAAATGGCGTGTAAGGAGTTGTGGACCAATAACCACATAGAGGAGTAGGAAATACTAGCAATGACAAGCATTTTCCATTGGATATTTTATAAACTGGCATTATTAACCAGATCAGGAAGAAACAAATACTCGTTCATAGGACAGTTTGAGACCAATAAGTCTTTTATCATCATCATCATATGAACCACCACACTGACCCAACCCATGACTCAACAGTCAACACTTTTTATATCACTAACCAATTCCGGTAGGAATAAAGATCCTAAACTGGAATAGGATAGAAAAGTTCAACCAATACATCCAAACTTGACGAGTATCTAGTGTGTAATCATGACTTTAAAATGAAAATAAAAATAAAAAATAAAACGGGTTTATTTTGGAAGGTAAGTTTGTGAGCAAAGCACAATCTATTGTGAAAAAGATATTGCTGATTCAGAAATAAACTGACAATAATGATAATACATGTTCTCTGATACTGCTCACTATTTTCATCCTAATTATCTTGCTTAGAAAATTTTAAAGATATAATGACACAAAAAAAAAAGAACAAAACCACTTATGCGGACATGCATTAGCATATCAGAAGCAAAATTGGTTTTATCACTATAGCAGTAACACAATCAGTTGTCACGGAGGACCTCTGACAGCACCAAAAACTATCTGCAATCAGGAGCTCTAACTTTGCCCACTGATATGGAGCCAAATTCAGAAAGCTCACATTGTCATTAATGTTGGTCCATTATCCGGCATACCCATCCCAGCAGCCAACTCAGCATCAAGTTGAGTATGTGGTGCAGGCCCCGACATTTGCTTCAAACTGCACCAAACTAAGCATATATCAAACAAAATATCCTTCATCCATAAAGATATGCTAACTGCAAGTATTAGTTTTTACATTATAGTCCATTAGCAGATCTGAGTTGCAATCATCTCTTTCAAAGTCATATTTTGCAATATGGAAACATGGGAAAGGGAAAAGCCATCATCTTCATTAAAGATTTAAGATACGAATATGCAAGCACTAGCTTATGTTTACATGAAAATCGAAGTAATTTCGCAATGCTCCCACCCAGTATCTGCTTAAAAGTTTAGTAAGACCAAGAAACATATTGTTTAGAACTTGTGAACTATTAGTACCATTGCTTGAAGATTTTGATAACATTTTATGAGAAACATGGTCACTACCAAAATTTTTCAATAACACCTGGAATTCTTGACTCAAACGAGCTTCTAACTTCATCCATATTAAGCATAAATCTTCTACTTGTTAGAAACAAAAAGAGATACAGAGCCAAAAGCAATAACATCAAAATTGGAAAATGGAATTGCTCACCGTTTCTTGTGGCGTTTCGTCTTGAAATGTTCATCCCTCACAGTCATATTCGCAAAATATCGGCTGAATAAATATAAAACAATAAAAAGTAACAAACAACTTGTATTATACCAGAATTCAATTTTTTTTTTCTATTTTCCATTTTTGTAATAATAAAAAAACCTTAAAATTTATTAAATTAAATTCATAAATAGTGGTCCTTACTCGCAGTGCAAGCAGTAATATTGACCCATTCCAGGCAAATCCTCATCGCGAGGCAACGGCTTCTTCTCCGAATCAACCTTTTGCAGCTCTTCATAAACGGCGTCGTCACGTAAATCGAAAATTTCTCAGTCAAGGAAAAGCAGATAGATAAAGTAAAAAATAATAAACTTCAATCATGAAGAAAGAAAAATTCCATTCAATTAAATAGAAAAAGATATCTTTGAGGAGGAATTTGGTTCGGCGAGCTGTTTTGTGAGAAAATCTTCGCTTCTTTACTTTCCTGCTTGGACATTTTCCTCCCATTGTTTCCCCTTCGTACTATAATTATTGTGAATAGCCCTTGATATTTTTTTCCTTTGATTTCGATTTGGGAACTTAGGGTTTTGTACTATTCTCCTCGAAAAACCCTAGACGAAAAGGATAATCGAAGAGGTGAGGCGGTGCTTTTATTTAAGTTGACTTAGCAGACAAAACGATGTCGTTTGGTCATCATATCTCTTGTTTTGGGCCTGAGACCTCTCTTGGGCCATGCAAGATGGTTTCATGGTTTGGGAAATGAAATTATAAATTCTTTCCCTTTTTTTAAGAGAAAAAATTATAACGAAAATATTTAAATAAAATATAAGCTGTCTTTATCATTTAACTTTATACAAATCGTACAAAAGGAATTATAAATCTTTAATGGGATTTAGTTTTAGAAAATATATTCTTTAGATTTCACTTTTATTTTCATTCTAAATATATGCCTAATCAAATAAGATAATTATAAAATTTATTTTTTAGTATATATAACATTAGAAAATTATTTTGAAGCAAAAAAAAAAATTATTTACTTTATCTTTCTTGAGTAATTTTATCAATTAATTTAAAATTTACATAATAATGTTACGCATAATTCCTTATATTGCGCCATCAATATGATTTCTATTTACAAAAATATAATAAAAAAGTGTTCGATCCTTATTTTTAATAATAAATATTTAATTCTTAACAACTTCAAATATCAAATGCGACTTGGTTTAGGTTTGGCAAGAGACCCTTTAACGTTCATGCACATGTAAAGCAATTCAAAGAACAATATTAACAACTCTTTTGCTCTTTGATTCTAACACAACCCTGGCAAGTGATTTTTTCTTGATTAGTAACCCTGCAAAGACAAATATTTTCAAACTAGAAAATTTAATTCATCAAGAAAATTCTACAACTCAAGTACTATATAGTGTATATAGAAATTCTTGAAATTGTCAAAGAATGACATAAAATGCATATGTTGTTAGTATAATCCCTAATCAATCAACTATCCAAATAAGAAAAAGCGAAATTAAATAAAAAAATATCAATAATTTAATGTAGTGTAACACTCAATTTTTTTACATTCATGTATGAGAAAAAAAAATCTATTAATTATAAAGAATTACAACAATTAACAAATCATTACCATTCAAACACTCACTCACAAATCAAACAATCAACCATAAATCAGATATACATACTTATAATCTCTCTTATTCTCCTATAACCGTATAAAAGAATTTCAGCATTTAAACATACATACTCAATAGTATTCTCAATCTTTCATAAATGTTTATTCAGTAAAACTCTACAACTCTATTTAAATCTTTCTCGCATGCATAGACTCAATCACCATATCTTTTGAGATTTGAATTAATATTCTCAACATTTTTTGTCTGTCTATATATATATATACACACACACATATAGATGGGTACTTATATCCGTTTTATACATATACGTATATTGTATTTATATGGATATGTTATGTTAACTATCAATGTCTACGACAGTATATATTATACAAGTAGAGATTTGATCTTTTGACATTATAATATACTTTTTGTATTGTCGTAATGATTTTGGGACCGTCAGACGTAAAATGTTTTAAAACAAGAAAAATAAAAAAAAGTCGCTACCAATCTTTGTTAGGATATGATTGATAACCCAAAAGTTTATCTTTTTAATAAAACTCTAAAAACGGGTTTAAAATTTATCAAAAAAATAAATTTTGTTCTACGAAAATCAGGTTGGGTTCGAAAGTCAATTACATGTGGAGAAAGATTAGCACATCCACAACGCCCATAAATTGATACCATTTAATCATGCGTTATTTTCAGTGTTGGATAAAATGGTTTTGACTTAAAATTTAATACTAATTCCCTTCGTTTAAAAAAATATTTTTGCTAAAATTTTTATTTAGAAATATTGAGAAAATCTTTAAGTTAAAAAATTATCTTAAAATTCTTTAACATCTAAGCAGAATTTAAAATAACTCGTTTCGCTTAAGATTTAACACAATAATCCTTAAAATGAAGTAACACTTTTTATAAAAAATTATTGGTGACTTTCCAACATCTAGGCAGAGTACTAAAAATTATTTTCTTTGGAATATTATTTTTATTTTGTTTTAAAATTGCATATTTTTAAAAACAAGTAAATAAAAAAATATTTTCTACAAAAAAAAGGATGATACTATCAGGTAACAAACAAATATGCAAAATGAGTGCAAACAATAACAAATAAATACATGTAAGCTAATAAGTACTATGTATAATGAAATACAAATTTGAAATTGGATTCTTAAATATAATGAGACCATTTTGACTCTCTAACATCTAGGCGGAGCTTAGGTGCGAATGTTCATATTTAAAATCTCATTTTATGTTATTATACTTTTTATTTATTGAAGTTTTCGATTCATTATTAAAACGCATTAAGGACTTGCAAGAAAAACTTAATGAAATAAAATTTCTTAAAAACTTCATCATTTAGGCGATATTCGAGAATAAATTACTTAATTTGAGATTTTCGCACATATCTTTAAAGTTTCATAATGGTTTTAAACTTGGGTATGGGTTGAGGTTTTAAAGATTTGGTGAGTTTCAGGCAATGATTTGGGATTTTGTACCAAATTTGGGGTTTTCAAAATTTTAGATTTTAAGGTTTTGGATTTTGGATTTTAAGGTTAGGGTTTCAAGTTTCAGATTTTGGGGTTTAGGTTTTTGATTTTAGGGTTTGAGATTTGGGGTTTTGTTTTAGGGTTTGAGATTTGAAGTTTTGATTTTAGGGTTTAGAGGATTTACGGTTTAATTTTAGGGTTTGAAGGTTTGGAGTTTTGATTTTAAAGCTTGGAGGTTTGGGATTTTGATTGTAGGGTTTGGAAGGTGAAGGTTTTAATTTTAGGGTTTGAAAGGTTTAGGGTTTCATTTTTAAGGTTAGAATGTTTAAGGTTTAATTTTAGGGTTTGAGAAATTTAGAGTTTCGTTTTAGGGTTTGGATTTTAGGATTTTGAATTTAAGGGTTTGAAAGTTTTAAGGTTTAATTTTAGGATTTGAAAATTTTAGAGTTTCGTTTTTAAGGTTTAAGGTTTTGGATTTGAGGGTTTTGAAGTTTTAAGGTTTAATTTTAGGGTTTGAAAAATTTAGAGTTTCGTTTTTAGGGTTTTGATTTTTTAAAATTTGAGGTTTGGGGTTTTGATTTAAAGGTTTGGATTTTAGGGGTTTTGGATTTTGGGGTTTGGATTTAAAGGTTAGGATTTTAGGGTTTTGAATTTTAGGGGTTTGGATTTAAGAATTAGTGTTTAAGGTTTCATTTTTAAGAAAATGCAAACATCTCTAAAAATTCTTAACATCTAGGTGGATTTTCGGAGTAAGTTCGATTTTAGCGATTTTTGAAAATTAATAAAAAATTTCTTATATATATATATATTTTTATGAAAACTTATTAATAATAATTCTCTAACATCTAGGTAGAATTATTTTTAGGAATATGTTTTATTCTTTCCAACATCTAGGCAAAATAAAAAAAAAAAATTATTTATTTATTTTTTAAGCATTTTTAATATATATTTTTAATTATTATCTTACTTGTTTTCATTTTTATTATTATTAAAATAATTAAATATTTATCCTAACAAATTTAAAAATTTATCATGCATAAATATAAAAAATACTCAAAATAACAAAAATAATAATATATAAAAATTTTTTTTTTACTTGAACCGAATCGGTCAACGGTCCAGTCAACGACGGTTCGGTTTGACGTGCAGTTCGATCTAGCCGACTGAGGAGCGGTTCAATCCAGTTTAGTTGGATCGGTTCACTGCGGTTCGTTTGAACCGACTGAAGGGTGACTGAGGCGGGTTGGTGGGTTGGTTTGCGCAGATCTTGAGTCGGGTTCGGTCCATGCGCGAATCGTCTTATACTTAAAACGGCATCGTTTTGGTCCTATGCTCAAAACGACATCGTTTTGCTCCTATATTTTCTATAAAAGTCAGTTTTTTTTCAATTCATTTCACCTTTTTTTCAGAAAAAAAGATTTCTCGCTCAAAAAATATTCTCTGGTTTCGACCAGAATCTGACACCGGACTGCCATGCTGACCACCGCCTGGGTCACCGCCGGCGGTCACTGATGGTGGTCATCGGTTGTCGAAAAATGTCAAAAATACTCTCAAACGTTCACCTCAACGCCCTCTTTCCAAATCCAATGTCCGTTTTGCCAGAAACAACCCTGATCGTCGTAGATCGGGGCTTGAAGGTTTCTGCCTTCTTTTTTTTTTTTTTTAAATGAGATTGATATATTTTTTTGCTTTTTCAGGTAGCTCGGCGTTATGTTCCTCCTTACGGGGAAGACTGTGTTTATCTTTTTGTTTCTATTTTTCTGTTTGTTTTTTTGTGTGGTTGGTGTGGGTTCTGTTTAGGGTTGTTGAAGGGAAATGTTTGGCTTGGTGTTTGGGCTCGAAACGAGAGGGTGTTAAAGGCAGTATGTCTAGAGGTTTCGAAGATCTGTCCGAAGGTTTTTGAGATGAGATGTCCGAGAGATGTTGAAAGGAGAAACGTTGGAGGCTTTATAGGGCTGAAAATGATGGTAGCTAATGGAGCATACGTCTGACGAGATATGGTGTGATGGCAGGGTAAAGTTGATGATTTCGAGCAATTTGGGCAAGTGAGATGCAGGGGTTCCAATGGGATTGAGGATGATGGTGACAAGGTGGGTGGCAGTGGTGATGTGTAAGGTACCACTGTCATCTTGATTTTTTTTTTTATCAATTATTATTTTTATTTTTTTATATTAATTAAATCAATATTATTATTATTATTAAATCAAATATTAGAAATAATAGACCCGGATAAAATCTGATGCATACATGTATGATTAAGAAGCATAATAAAAAGTACAGATCGAGACCAAAATATATTTTTTACCTCAGATAGGAAACATGAATATGGTATAAGATTACTGCCATGTCACCAAATTACTGAAAGAAAGAGATAAAACCAAAAGGCCATTTGTCTGCACCTGCATCTGCATCTCTCTCCATCCAACCAACAACCAAACTCTTTGTCAGCAATGGTCCATGGAGATTTTTATGATCTCCTCTTGGCTGCAGCTGGAAGACTAGGAGAGGTGCAGGTGCAAATGCAGATAAATGAAGACTTCCTGGAGATGTCAAATGTGGCTGCGGGAGACAGAGTTGCAAAACCAACAAAATATTTAGTATGGAGTGGGTCCTGGAAGATCAACAAAGGATAGTAGCAAGAGTTGAAGAGAGATACGATCAGCTGATCAATGAACAAGTCTCAGAGGTTGATGAGAACGTGAGAGACTTGGAGATGGTAGGAAAATAGTAAAATTTAGCAATAGGGGTTTGGCATTTGCTTCTCAACAGACTTTCACTTTCACTTCAGTAGTCAGTAGTACACTGGGACCATGTAATGAGTAGGCTGAAGCACGTGGGACATTAGACAAACGGGCCAATCAAGGAATGCCACGTAAGGATCATGCGTCTGCTTCATCACCTGATAGCCCTCACCCTTGGATGCCTCTCGGGCTGCCTCCTTTTTTTTTTTTTGTTTTAAATGGTGTTTTGCTTCCCATACTTACTGACTCCTCATTACCCGTTGTTGTACTCTTCTTGTTCTGAGCCAATATAGTAGTAAAAAATAGAAAAAAAAAAAATCACATGGCAATTTGCGAAGCATTTGTTGCAATGGATACGAGTGTGATGATGCATCATGCATACACTATCGGCCGCGTAACATGGCTAAAACAATCTCGAAGTGTCTTCGGGATTTTCCTTTGAAGATTTTGGAAACTTGCTCACCATTTATATCTAAGTAATTGAACAAAATGTAGAACCACTTTTATTGTCTAATTGATTTTTGTCGGTGCTTTTCTTCCTCCTTTAAACATTTGCGCGTATATCCGAAGGATATGCCATGCCATAGCCATCCCCTTATAACAAGGCGTGATCCAACATCAATCTTCATCTATTGGGGCCCCCATGATACTTGAGTGAACGAGCCCGCTAGACACCACATCCACAACATAGAGGGGAAACAGTAATTATGCCATTTAAATATAATAGTTGAATTTCTTTTTTTAACTTCTGACTAGCATGTAAGGGCCAGACATGCTACAACTTAAGCTTTTAAAACAACCGGTTAGTCAAAATAAATAACACTCCATTTACATCCAATAAACAATCAAATTGTGAATGGCATGAAAGTTCAACTAAAATGGAAGTTCATTTCGTGTTGAAAACAATTGGAAGTCTTTTATTTTGTTTTTGTAGCTTCTAAAACATAATGGGTGTGGAAATTTTCATGAGTTGGCTCTAATAGAAGAGTTACTGTATGGAAGGGAGACAGGGTAACAAAAAGAGTGATAGAGATGATGGACAGGTATTTGGCTAAGAGAATCACCGCCCAGCGAATGAGAGCAAGGGAAAAACGATAGATTGATGGGGTTTGTGATCAACCTCGAGCTGAATGGTCTCAGCTCTCAACTCCCCTATCGCTAGAAAAGTGACTGACATAAATGCAATGTACAATTTAATAAATGTCACATTGCAGCAAATATGTACTACTTTTCTAACACTATAAAATAAAAATATTCTAATCCTATTCAACCTTTATTTTGTTTTCATGAAATAATTTGTCAATCCTACTTTACTAAAATTCATTCATGGACCAAATATGTTACTCCAAAAATATATATTGGCATAGTTAAAATTATTATTTAATTAAAGCTATTAATACATAATTTTTATTACAATTATTCACAAAATGAATTTTCTTTATAATAAAACTGATTTAATAATTTCAAAAAAAAAAAAAAAGAGGGTGAAAAGCTGTTTTAAAAACTAGTTCATTCTATGATTTCGTATGCAATGAAAAATCTCTACAATCTAATACAAATAAGCTAATTTCTACTACAGTGGGGTCAAAATGGCATGGGAAAATAGGATAAAAGCAATTACAAAATTATGAAGATATAAGCTGAAGGACTTGCCAGAACTGATACCCCATGAAAAGCCTTCAAACAAACAGACTAATCAGGCTTAATGTGGGGTAAAATATTAGGAGGTGAGGATGATCTCACAGGGCATGCTTCTGGCAAGTTACTTTACACAATGTACAAATAGATTATTTTTCATGGTACTCAGCATGAAACTAAATTTTCAATGTTCATGCTTGACACGTGCTTTCAATATTCCGGGGAGGGGCGGTGAGGTAGGAGGCCCACCCGGCATGCTTGTCCTTGGGGAAGGAAGGATCTGTTGTTGATAAATTGCGGACATGCTAGAACCTTCACCATCTGCAGAAAAATTGTGTGCCATTTCATCACTCTGTGGTCTCTCACAAAATTTCATCGCCTTCAAAACATAATTGTCGTCATGGAGCTCAAATGGTGTGCTGTAAATAGAACACCAATTAGATGAAATGAAAAAGGAAAGGTAAGCAATAAATCAAAAGATGGTTTAACCATTTGGTAATTATCACTTGATTGTCAAGTAAGGTTGCTATCAAACTACAGAATTTACCCCTCTACCTGACTAGCCCCTTCTTTCTCTCTCTTTGGCATTGCATGGTTTCCCATCACAACATGAGACAACATACTTGTCCCAAGCTAGATGATACTGACTCAAAATACACACCAAATGCTGTTCAATGGATGTTGCAAGTAATAAAAATAGTTTAAAAATCTTACCTATTAAAGTCAAAATGCACCAGCTGCATATCTTCAGATATTTCTACCTCAACAGTTGCTTGAGGGCGTGTCTACAATTTCCAGATGACAAGAGAAAAAAAAGAGAAGAGAAATTAAGACGCCTCAGGATTTAATGGAAGAGTCCTAATAACTATAAAAACAAACTTTGTATCTGTTCAGCATGTGCATGCTCCATGATAACCTATTAGCCTTAATTAAGAAACCTCATGGTGTCCTTTTTCTTTTTCCTTCAAGTTTTTGGCAGGTAGGAGTTAGGAAAAGGGAGACAGATACATAACAACAGGTAACAATGCAACTGGACTATCAATATGGACAGAGTAAAATACAACTTGAATAATGAAGGCCCACAATATGCCTAAATATCTTGGACATCACTGTGGCCAGCACATTTGAGAAAATATGAATCAATCAACAACATGATACCAAGAGAAAGCCTCCATTAGATGCATTTGGCAAACAATAATTCAGATTTTTCTCTTGATTGACATTAAGGTACAAAAAATTCCTAGTTTAACCTCCGCACTTAAAATTTTAATCATCTGCAGCAACTTCAGCTGCATGATGGGATATAAGGCTCCATAAGATTCAATCTTAAACAGCATCTATTCAGCCATTAGAGAGTATTTATATCACCTATTCAGCACACGTCTATGTTTGGTGGCAGCATATACGCATCAACAAGAGCAAATACATGATGCCCAGAATCAAACCTCATCCCTACTATTGCCAGCTTTTAAAGAATTTGTATCATCGACATGAATATTCTATACTTTGGCAAAGTGAGCATACTCATCTATCACAATAGTTCTGTATCATCTACATTGTGGGTGCATGTGGAGATCTAAAAATGGAAGATCCAAACTACAGATAGCTCTTTTTTCTCTATACTCGTAATATAGGCTGGAATTGATATTACTAACATGTTAAGAAGATTTACCAAAAAGAGGTTACTTTTCATGTAGCAATCACTACTACCAACTTATAGACATTTTAAACTCTAGTTGAAGAAAGAGAAATAACCATACAATCCATTAATATATTCCCCACTTGTCAAGTAGAAAAAGACAAGTAGACTTTCTAGTTTTAAGTCATCAAGTAGGAGATCTCAAGCTGTTCTACAGACAAGAAATTTTAGAGCCAAAACAGAGTTAAAAAAAGAACCAAAATACTAGTTAGATAAAAGGAAAAATTAACAAAAACAAAAGATGCAGATCTTAACAAATGCCAAGGCTTACTCAAAAACCTAAAGGAAGTGATAATCGAAACAGACAACAAGAAAAGTTGACTGATCCCACATTTCTAATTAAAAAGAAAAACAGAGAATCATCAAATTTGAGGTTGGTTCATATAAGCACAGGAACAATGATTTGAAGGAGATAGGAGATTAAAATTTTGCCTAATTAAAAAATTTTGTAGCATAACTTCAATGAATGGCATTTCTAATTTCTTATAAGAATTAAAGACTTGAGAAGATAACAAACCTGAACCAGGATAAAAGGTAAATCCACACCGCCGCTGGGAGCATTTCCTGTGCTATATAATTGCTCATTTCGGTGTATCAAATTCTGAAGACCTACAAACTATGAAAGAAAACAAGTACATGAACATATGATGGCATGCAAAGGGACCAGGGGAAACTTGATGTCCTCAAACAGCTCTCTCTCTCTCTCTCTCTCTCTCTCTAAATATGCAGCAACTTGATGTTTAGCCAAAAAGAAATTTCTCAACATAAGGGCATGCAGAAAGCAATTTTATGTACAAATATGTGAAAATTAAAAAGTGTGCTATTCTTACCTGTTCCTCCAATTCATGCAGATAGGCAGCCTTTTTTTCAATCCTATTTCTCAGTTCGAGCCGTTCAGTCTGTATCAATTAATTTGTGGAGCTTGTTAGGCTCAATATTAGATCCTTAATAGTTGCAAGATCAGCCCTACTTAACATAAGAGATACAAAAAATGGAAGCTGCATTGTCACCTTTAATTCTTCAATATCACTCAGGCTAGTACGAGGAAGTCCTTTCCATTGTATTTCTTTTTTATCTTTAGATATAATATCCATTGCCATTAGCACATTCAGGGCATCATAAACCCTTCGCCGAATGTTTTTCTCGTCATACTGCTGCTGTTAGATTAAAAAAAACCAAAGGAAGGTTCAATACCATTAATTCAACTCTCTCTTAGGGTAAAAGATTGTAATTGTACAGATCAAGGAATATAATATTGGCAGGGCCAAAGAATAGCAAACCTGATCTGGTGTTGCTAAACTACTGCCGGGATCAGCAAATTCAGCTACAAGTTCATCTGCTACCTGAAAAAACTTTCACTCTCAAATAAATACATGGGCATATAAAATAAGTTGTTAATACGTAAGAAAGAGAGCAACCAAAGACCATTGCCAAGCTAAGATAGAAGCAGTGAAACTTCAAACTCAAATAAGCAGACAAAGAAGCAAGTTTCCAAACCTTTGAAACATGAGGAAAGGAAGGAACAACTCCAATCATGTGCAAGTGTGTGTTGCCAGCATGAGAAGGAAAAATTTGCATTCATGAATCACATTACCATATGATGTCAATTTGAAAAGAAACAGTATCATTCTCCTTGAAAGTTTGAAAGGGTACAGGAATTACATGTATCCATAATGGAACTTGGTTGATGCTTAAAATAACAAAAACCACTTAATCATGATGATATACATGCCGACTTGAGATTAGTAAGCAATCAGAGTAGCACAAATGGGTTGCTAAGAAAGGAGTCACCACGATATCAATTTGTCAGTCTACTCTTCTTTGATATCTCATACATACATTAGAAGCATTCTCCAGGGCAATTTTGGACTGATATAGCAAAAATTCTATATCTTAATATCATAGTCTTGCAATTAAGAGTTAAGGCATGCAAATCCTGACCCACAAGAAGGAACTGTCAAATGCACAACTAATTTGTACCCTGTTTACACAACAATTCTTATATCTAATCCATTAATGCAGTATCAAAGAAAAAGAAATTTAGGTAGTATTTAGTTTCAGAAAATAGTCATTTTCTTTTTTCATTTTCCAAAAAAATGAAAAATATGAGTGAAAATGTGTTTGGTAATTGAAAATGAAAACAAGTTTTTAGAAAACAAAAATGAAAATGGGTTGAAATATGAAAACAAAAAAAAAGATGTTTTCAATTGTGAAAATAAGGGATGTACATTACTTTTTTCCTTATGTTTTGCAAGTTACCATATTTAAACACTTTTTAATATCATTGATTAATAAATATGTTATATTTATAATTAAATGACATTAATAGTAATATTATTGAATATTTTATTTATTTCCTTATTTTTGCATTTTAGAAAATGATTTTTATTTTCATTTACCAAATACATTTTTTAGAAAACAGAAAATAAAAAATAAAAAATATTTTCTAGAAAATGAAAATTAAAAATAAAAACAAAAAACATTTTCTCAAACCAAACAAAGCCTTAGCCGTCACAAATCTTATAACACAGAAAGAACAAATTCAGGGAAAAATTAGAACATTTTGCCAAAATGTATAGACCATATAAACACAGCCATAAGCACTAATGCAATGACCATTAATAAGTTCACCAAAACCAACAAACATGAATGAAAGAATGACTTTCAGAAACCACCTGACCTCATTGTATGTGGTTCTTCCCTTGCTTTCCACTTTTTCACAAACTGGGCGAAACCAAAGACAGTTCAAACAAGAAATCAGTTAGCTAAGCCACAACTGCCAACTCATCTACAATATCCATGGCAGAATAACAAGCACATATAAAACAATTTTCACATGAAACAATATGTGATTGAGCTTTTAATGCAATCTGTTCTTAACCATAAATCACAACCTTTCAAAGGTAAGGAAAATAGAAAAGAGGAAACAAAACCTTTCATGCTAAATTGGCGGAGTCCTCTGCCACTCTTATCACCTCCAACTGCACGTTGGCCTCTCTTCTTCTTTTTACTACTGTAAATAAAATTGGGAATCAGTTAAATTCATGGAATACTCTAGCATTATAACAACATAGTATAACCAATGCCAACAACTGCATTGTTTTGTTAGCAGTCAAGGATAAAGCGGCATGGACAATCCAAATGCAGTCACCAAAAAATCAAAAGATTCATCACCAATTTAAACAGTCTTTCCTATTGTAGCCCACAAACAATATTCAATTCAAGCATAACGCAAAATTATTTACCAAATTCAAGCATAAAAAAGTACAAATTTACATCACGAAAGCACAATTAAAGGCTTTTCTTGAATCTACCCTAAACCCTCACCCCCTTTCTTCAAAAACCCAAAATTACATCAAGCATTAAACAGAATCATCATAAACTCAAGCTAAAAGGATACCCAAAAATGAAAAAAAAAAAAAAAAACTCACCCAACAGCAGCTTGAGATCCAGCATCATCTCCGTGAATATCGAGATGGTTCAATCTTAAAAAGGTGTTCTCACTGCCAGGTGTGGCCATAGCTTGCTCACTCCGGCTCGAGGGAGAGCCAACACTACCACTAGTCGAAACGGATTGACCTGAAACGATCGTGCCCCACGACCTAGAAGCTCCTCCCTTAGTTGGGTTTTTCTCCCCATCTTCTTGGTGGTTATGGTTTTGAATATGGTTACTCCCAGTTACCATAACTAAAAAACCAAACCCAAAAATAAAAATTAAAAATTTAGTGAAATTTTGGGGTTCTGAGAGAAACCCAGAAGAGAACTGACCTCAATGAAAAGTGGGTACCGGACATGAAGAGAAGTTAATTAGCATAATCAGTAATAGCTTGGCACAAAATAATATTATCTCTATATGTTTGATTCGGTTTCTGTAAGAAAAAAAAAAATGAACTATGAAAGTGAGGAAAGAGAGGAAAGAGGGATTTTTATTATGGAATGGGGAATGGAGCCAAAGGGGTTTTCAAGGCTTTGAAGAGCTGTGCAGGTTGTGGAAAAGAGGGAAATTTTATTTTTCTGAGGGTTTGGTTTTTGCCGTTCGCTTTTTTTTTTTTTCTTTTTTCTGATTGCTGATTGGGTGAGGGGAATAAAGGTGGGGTTGGATGGACTGATCCGAAAGGCCCAAATTTTGGGTTTAAGGATTGATATGGGTTTTTAATTTAAAAAGAAAAAAGAAATGATTTGGGTTTACTTCTGCCAACTGAAATTGTTGTACTACAACAGCCATAATCAAAGTTGTTATTAATAAGTTTACCTAATTCAGTATCCTTTGTTTACTGCTTAAAAGTTAAAACTATTCAGATTTAAATTTTGATTGAAATTAAAATTTTATACTAATAAATCACACAGCTGTTCACAATACCTTCCAATTATTATTTGTTGAAAGAATTTGAATCCAAAGTTTATAAAGTTAGTACTTCTTTAAGAAAGGATATATAAAGATATATACTAGATTAAATCTATAACTTCCTACGCTCATGTATGTTATTTAATTAATTCAATGCATACTAGTTGAATTAAGTTGAGTCATTATTTTAAGAATCTTATAAAAAAAGAAAGAAAATAGTGTAGTTTATGATTTGGACTTGACTTAAGGATTTACAAGTGGAAATATGTCAGGTTTGGTTCTCTAAAAAAAAATTGGTATGGTATTAGAAAAGCAGAAAATGTTAAGTTTTAGAAGCTGCAATCACTAGACATTGGTTGAAATGAATGTAGAAGAAGGTTATTTCATGTATTCAACAAAAATTGGAATCTTTCATGTCTTGGATTCACAAAGTGGCTGCATTTAATTATAGTTTTTCTTGTCTAAATCCGATCTAGTGTTTTTATCAAAAGTTGACCTAACTACAGCTTTTGTCCCATGTGCCCAAAGGTGGCTAAATGGATCCTAGGCTTAACTCTTGTCATTATCTTTTGATTATTTAAAAAGTGTTGAAATTATTTCATGTTAACACAAAGATAATAATCTTTGTCTTCTGTCTCTTAGCCTAGTGGCCAATGGTCAAGGAAGCTTTAATGAGGATATGAGATCCTCGTTTTTAAGCAAAGATCTCCCCCTTCCCTAAAAGGGCTACGCCCTCCTGTAGAACAAAAAAAAATTAGATAATGATTTATTACATTTCTTAATAAAAGCATAATTGGGTTTCATTATTTGTTTGTGCCATGTCTAATTTTTGTTGTCTACGAATTTGACAAATCTTCTGTTTTGGGCATTGCTGTCGTAGACCTCAAGGATCAAGTGAAACCAGTGATTAAATTCAACTCAAGTATAAGTGAAGATTTCATTCAACTTTGCAGGAAACTTCAAATTCACGAAAAGCATATATAGTGCTGAAAAAGAAAGTACTTTACTCTGTAGACTAACCATGATTGAAACTTGAAAGTGGTCATTCCCCATTATTTCACGAGAAATCAAGACAGGCTTGAAAATCTGAAGCTTCTCCTTACTTTTCTTTTTCCCACATGAATGTTGGAAAGTGGGTCAGTCTTCTGTTTGCCATGAATCACAACAAGCTGACATTGGGTCACTTTCTTCTTTTACCGCATAGTAATCCCAACCACCGTTACCTAACCAAGCCAATAGCCATTTAAATTCCAGCCACCATTACCATTCTTAATGCAGTCTGCACCCCTGAGGTAACTGCAATTATTACCATATCAAATTTTAAGTTTCACCCTTCTAAAAATATATGCATGTCCATCCACCGTGGATGGACCTCCCTCCTTACAATATATGCGTAAGTTACCTTGTAAAGATACTATCAGGAAATCATGTCAGGATGTCTTCTGTCTAAACTCTAAATCTATGCTTCCAAAAGTTTGTATTTTATTGATCTAGTCAAACCCCCCTCCCCCTTCTCATTTCACCATTTCTAAATAAATAGATTTTTATTAACATCTCAAAATACACACAGGGCTATGGAGCACATAAGGGAGAAAAAAAAATTGACATATCCATTAAGCAAGAGCATCATAAAGTACCGCTAAATAAGTCATACTTTTCACTCTAATTCATCCAACTTGATCTCGTATTGTTCACCAGAAGAAAGGATTTTCACAACTACCATACCCTTCTGCCACTCAGTATTTCCTACCAATATTAGTCTTTGTGCATTTGTCCGTGCAGCTCGTTTGAACACCCTACAAGAGAATGAAATCAAAATAATGATTACTCAAAAGTCAAAACATGAAAGAAATTGATCAAAAACTCTGTAAAGGTTTAAATATCTTAGAGAACATCATTGGTATTAGCACCATTTAAGTGGTTTGCTCTCCAAGACTAAGTCAACACTCTGGCCTTTTTCCCTGAGTTTCGTAGCAACTGTAGCAGCTACTCCTTCAAGATCCTTATCCAGAGCACAAACGATGTTGTCTACTTCAAGGCTGAGCTCTGGTAGGAGTCCTTTTTCCTTGAGCAACTTTTGTACCATGATCCCCACAGCCCAAAGAGCCACAAGCACACGCATAGAAGCACACCCAAAAGGCAAAATGAGAATAAACAAAAGAAATTTAAAAACAAATCAAGCATCGACAGTAAAACGAATCTAGTTGTCAAATGAGGAAATGAGAATGGTTGGAATAAGTTAGCAAAATGAAACACAAATAACATGACTTATCATACCATAATGATCTTCAATTGACAGATATATAGTATATATCTGTTTGCATATGACATAATCATGAATTCACTAGAAAATATTCGATTATAAAATTACTTAGTTCCAGGTTTTAACTTACTTCCATGATGACAGCATCACCAAACCCAAAGCCACAAGCTGGAACATCATCCCCACCAAAAGTAGAAAGTAATCGATCATATCGGCCACCACCACAAATAGCTCTCAGCTTTCCCTCTCTATCAAAACCCTGAGAAAAATATTTGCCACACTAAAAGTTCAAAAAGTGGAAAGAAAACAGATAAATCTTTATTAAATACTGCAATAAGCTTAGACAATTTTCACGAAACAAAACAATGATTGAAAGATAACATGGAGTAATACCACAAGGGACTACTCATGCTTACATCCTACAATACAGGTCACTGGCAAATAAACATCTCATATATTCATAGGCAGACCTAATGTTATTAACGCAGGCAGTTAAGTTTAGACTTTGGATATCAATTTTTTAAAGGGCAGGGTGCTGCTCTATGATCATAATGTTATAGTTCATATATAAAGCACCAATTGTAAAGATCAATTACATATATATTCATATTTCATCAAGATATCCTATGCGTCAGAAGACTTCTGGCCCTTAGAAAAATATGCTACCCCCCATAAATGGCAAACCAATCTAGTTATTAGCAGTAAGAAGAACATATTGCCATAGAAAAGTGTCACCAGACCCCCACAAGTAGGAATTGGAGAAGTTAAAGTGAATGGTCCTTTTACGTTCAATTTCCCACGTAAGTGCCCAAACTGTGTCAATGGAGAAAAAAATATATCATAAATCTAACCTCAAACACAATACCGGTGTAGTAGGCAAGGCCACGAACAACAGATGCATCAAACTGAATCCACTCGGAGTAACCAAACTTCTCAGCAAGTGAAAACAATTGTTTCAAGTCAGCTATAGCTTCCCCAGCACCTCCAAGTATCTCTACATTTACGAAAGCATATGGCACACACAATCAGGATTAAAGCTATCATCTTCTTACGAGAAACAGATCTATATACAATAAGTTATCTACTGAAGATAATCACATATCTCAAGAAAAGATGAATGATTTATATAGTCAGATTCCCATTTGAAGCTTTTAACATGGACATAGAAACTTGTTTGAGGGAAGCAGAAGGCAATGATTTAATTTCAAATATCTGCTACGATCTCAAGAAAACTGAAAATTAGGCAAGCAATTATTCCTTTTCCCTCATTGTTTGAGACGGTGATACTTTTTTATGTTTTGTCCTGTTGGTTATCAAAAATAGGAACGCTAAAGCTAGCCCAACCCACCCCCCCCCAAAGAAACGGATTTCTTCTAAGCAAATAGTATCCACAAGTGATTTGCCATATCAGAGACATAAAAAGTCAACTAGACCTATTAGCTAACAATTCAAGCAGATATGAGGTGCAGAAAAAGCTGAAAGCTGGTAATGACATTTCTTTTAAACTGCCTTCATTTAGGGATAACTTGTGACTGGTTCACTTTTTACCCTATATTTTCTTTCTTTCCTTCCTTTTTTTTTTTTTTTTTTTTTGAGAGGAGGGAGGAGTACCTAGCTTTTTCCTTGATGAAAGAAAATAATATCAAATAACATGTGGAAATACCAACCTTCCAACTCTGTCAACGACTTTATGGAAAGGATTTGCAATAGTTCCTCAATAGCCTCTTCTAATAACCCAGTGGCATTCAACTCTCTCTTGATCTCATCTATCGGAATCTTTTCAATCTATTTCAAGAAAAACAAAACTAAATTAATTAATTAATTTTAATTAACAAGTGCATAAATAAGGAAAGAAAGGAGAATATGCATATCCAGCCATTGCAATGTTCCACTAAAAAATCATATAACCCAAAGACCAGAATGTGTTACCAGTTACAAAAATCTAGTACATTACAAAGCGAACAAAACTCGATACTATGGAAATCATAAAGGCTAAACTTCAATCAACTAACCTTGTCTATGATGATGCAAACCTTGCCAAACAAATTTTCAGGTACTGAGTAGCATCTCAATACTTCTTGCAAGACCTTTGAAGCAGATATGAATTAAAGACTAACAAAATATAATCAACAATGAGTGCTTGTTGCAGAGAAAGTAAAACATACTGCATCGAAGAAAGCAATGATAAAATATAAGTTTGCAACTGTAATACTTGAGGAAGGACTGTGAATGTACTTAAGAAAGTCATGAAAATGTCAAATGATTCATTTCATGCAAGGACAAAATGATCACACCTTTCGGCTTGAAACCTTAAAGCCAACATCTGCTTCCGTGATTCCAATTCTCTTGAAGAAAGTAACAATGGAAGAAATAAGTTCTGCCTCGGCCTACAATAAGAAATGATAATCTTGAAAGGTAGAAAATGGATAAAGGAATCTCCCAACAGAATCACACAAAGTGCATCCAGTAAACCAGCTCTAGAATTCCCCCAACATTAAAATCAATGTTAAAAACTTTAGATCCACATGTTCAGCTCAATGATTGACTATCAGGCTTGAGCACTGTGGTGCAATTCAAAATTTTCACTAAAGGTGAGTTTCTAAAAAAATAAAGAGGAACTTATGCATTTTTCTAGCAGTGAGCACATATGAGGTGGGTGTGGTTACTACGGAAGTTTATAAAACAATTTGAATGCTGCTACTAATTAGAGCAACAAAAGGCCATGCCCAACCAACTCGTAAGGCTAAATAACATCTAGAGAAGGTTAGTAGGTCATAAAGCATATCAAGTTGGCATCACATACTGTAACTTCAGGTATACCAAGAATATCCATATTCCATTGATAGTGCTCACGTCGTCTTCCCCTTGTCATTCTCTCATACCTCCAACACTGTCCAACAGCAAACCACTTCAATGGGAAGGATAAAGATTTTCTGAGCCAAAAAGAAAAAACATAGGGATCAAATTCTGGCATCTGTACCTGGATACAAAAATAATAACAAAACAAATAAATGAACATCAAAATGTTTTTTTGCTGTAAAATATCAATTTTTTGAAGCAAAAGCAAGAAGCTTTTATTTTGAAAAATATGAGTGGAAATATGCTGTTGCAGTCAACATTCTCCATACCCTTTCTGTATCACCAGCCTTGCTAGAGAAGGTGTGAGCTCAGGCCTCAATGCAACACGACGATTTCCCCGGTCTTCAAAACAATACAACTGCACATAGAAATGACAGAAATGACACAATGCAACAGTCATTGAAACCTTGTCCAAAAACAAAGTAAAATGTACATGAAACACAGGAAAATGCATACCCCTAATACTTTTTCTCTCATGCCATCAAAGTTAGCATCCAATTCTTACTTATTTTAGAGCCATTGCCTTGTTAACAGAACATATCTCATTTCCACGAGTAATTGTAAGTATCCTCTGCTCAAACACATTTAGCTATTTTATGAAAAAAGTTAGAATATTTGCTGTCAGATACACATTAGAACCTTATCTTTCCCCTTATCTACTTACTTGAATTTAACTACTAATCAAATCAAACATGTTCCATCATTAAACACAATTTAATAATAAAAAGAGGCAAACCTGATCTCTAATCTCCTCCCCTGCCTTCCTAATGAACAGAGCCTCTGATTCTAAAACTGGATAATCAACCTCTTCGAATCCAAACAACCATGAAACCTTCAATAACAAAACAATGTCCAAGTGAAATAAAGTAAAATAATAGAGCAAACACTTCACAAAATGAAAACTAACCTCTCTGAAATGGTTAAAGAGCCAATTCCGGAGTCGCATATCTTCAGGGGGGAAGTCACGAGTCCCTTTAGGTGGATTCACATCGATTCTATGAACCTCCTCCACAACTGGTGACGGTGATAATGCGCCGGACCTGCCGCCGCCAGTTCCGCTGCTCCTGCTGCCAGTGTCGGTTGTGGACGACTGCACCGAAGATAAGGAAGAGAATGTTTTAGGGCTTTCGGAGATTAATTGCCGCGGGATTTGGAATTTTCTAGGTGCGAGAGACGAGTGAGTGAAAAGGAACAAAGGTTTTAGCGAAACACCGAGGCGCTGATTCAGCAGCGAAGAAGGAAGCGGAGGCATTTGCGGCAAAAGATTTTACCGTTCCTAAGGTGCTCTGCTGCAGATAGATAGCGTGCTTTCTTTATTTGGGTCTCTGTTTTCAAAATATGGGCCTCAATTGGCGCAACATTAACTCAAAAGATTGGGGTTTTCTTTTATTTGGGTAAGCCCAAAATTATAGTATGTATTGTGGGCGCGATTTGGACTTGAAAGTTGACAAATTTGAGGTTGGAAATATTGAATGTGTATTAATTTTGGACGGGTACAAAGTCTACAGTTAAATAAATCTCAAGTGGGCTGCAATAATGGAGAGTAATTTGTAAATGTACTTGGTAAGCACTCGGATACATAAAAAAAAAAAAAGCATTGAATTGATTGTGTTTTACTTTTCATTTGTTTTTAATAGGCTTTTATTCTGATTTTCGTCACTCAACTTCCTTGAAAGAGCAGAAGATCTTCTGTGACAAATTTCTTTCAACCTTGATATCAATCAATGAGAGGTCTTAAGAGACATCCATGGGACTAGAACTTGAGATTTTATGTCCACAATCATGATCTTGGAATTGAATTCTAAAATGAATTTCAAAGAGTTGATTTAGATTTATTTTGTTATATAAATGATAAAAATAAATAAAAATATTCTATTACATTTAAGAAATAAAAATATAATCTTATTCCTTATTTTTGTCGATAATTGTATGATTTATTAATTTTAATAATTAGAGGTCAACCTTTTAAAACCTCAACTAAAAATATATATATATATTTTTAATTGGAGACTCCACATATAACTACCACAGTATGTTGAAGTGCTCCAAGAGGTTGAACTTGTTAAACTTGTTTTTCTTCAAAACTAGGAAAAAAAAATAAACGATGTATTGCTAAGCATCAAAATTAATCAACTTAAAATTATAGGTTACATCTATATTATATTACATAATAAAAGATAAAGTCTCACGTCTTATAAAATCTCACCTTGCTTAGTTTAAATTTAAAAAAAAAAAAAAAACTTTGAAATTAAATCTTGGTTCATTTGGGATGCGTGCCATGAACATCCAATCATAAAATAACATTAAGATGCGATAAAAATTTATTTCACCTAAATGAAGTATTAAGCACTAATAAATAATACTAATACACCATCATCATCATCATTATCATCATCATTATTATTTTATTAGTGTTTTGAAAACATCGTAGCAAATAGTCAAAAACAAAAAGCTTAGGTGGAAAACTTCATTTGAAATGACTTTTTAGTGGCCATTGTTGTACCTTAGTAAAACAAAATAGAACCTTTAATGTAAAATAGAAATGGTTTAAAGGCCCGCTGCTAATTTCATGTGTTTAAGATTTATTTTGTCGTTATCAATAATAGTATGTAAAAGAAATTTAATTTTATAATCTTTAAAATATAATGAAGTCTCTATTCGATTTACTTTATATTAATAAAATCAAACCTCTTAAAGTCTTTAACAAAATTTTTTACAACAATAAGCTTATATTTGAGAGAGAATGGGAGAAAGAAAGGAAATAATCCAAAATTCTGAATCTTAATTATGGAGATTGAATCTTAAGATTGTGAACTATGATTATTTGATTGTATTGTTTCAATCAAATATCATTTTTTTATAAGAAAGATAGCATTTTAAATAATTAAAAATGAATTGATTCATTAAACTAATTAAACTTTTTATATAAAAAAAAATATTTCTCATGGATTTTAAAATTATAACTTTTTATATAAAGCAATCGACTTAATTTAAAAAATAATAATTTATTTTTTTATAATTTTAATTTTTAAAATTCTATTTGAAATAAGACAATTAATTTTTTTCAATTTACAAAATGTATTTAATATATGAGTAGTCGACTGTTATATTCTAACTTTTCGAAAAACTTTTAACTAATATCAATTGATTCTTTTAAGGTTAAGAATCGATTACTATAATTTCTAATCGTAACAATCAATTACCCTAAGTTAATAGTCGATTATTAATTTTATATAAAAATTATATTTAACTTTTATTTGTCAAAGTTTTCGACTTTGCGTCAATGAGAATTGATAAAAGAGTATACTCTTATAAACATGGTACTCAATTACTTTCATATACAATGTTTTATTTAAGAACTAAAACCATACCTTAAAGTATGTTATAATTTAATATGATTTTTTTTATTAAAATTTTTACTTAATTATATTATTTTCATATTTAAAAATATTTTTAACATAAGCTTCACGTTAAACAGTCCTTTGATTCATTGAAACAAAGCAAAGATGTTACACATTTGGCTTGGTTTTTATTTTTATTTTTATTTTTTTTCACAGGATCCATTTACTGATCTGGAAATTTGACAGTACTCCACACGTTTTTTTTTTTTTTTCTTCCATTCGTACTCCCAAATAGTTTCCTGCTAGCAGTAGGATATTTCAAAGGAAGTTTCTTGCTGTGCTTTTGTCAATGGCAAATTCCAGTACGGAATGAAGGCGTTGGGTTTGGTGGGGGACCCGAATTCTTGGCTTTTCTTTCCAAATTAAAAGATTATTATTATTATCACTGCAATGGCGGGCCTGCCACAAGGTTCCCACGAGGAGCACATCGAGAGTGCACGGAAGGAGGGTGTCAATGCCACATTCGCCTATCCTCCATTAAATCAATAAAAATTATTTCGATATTTTTTAAATAAAAATCAAAATAAAAAAATAAAACTTATAATTTTATGATAAAAATGAAAAGAAAATCATAAAATGTGAAATTGAAGGAAAAAAGTACATTGAGATTAAATTGTTTTTATTGGAGCTAAAAGCTCAAATGGTTAACTAGTGCTAATCGCACCATATTTTTGATATCCAACTAATAAAATAACGCATTTGAACTTTAAAAAAATGCACAAATCTTGCTGCAATGATGTTTTGATGACATCCAATAATTTCTTAAAATTAATTTAAATAAACGATAAAATTAATTTTAATAAATTAAAATTAATAATAAAAATTATTATAATTATAATTAACAAATTAATAATAAATTTATATTAAATAATTTTATTAAATTTAATATTTAAATTTAATTAATAATATGATAAATTTAACTATACAATACAAAAAATACAATGAAATCTAAACCCCCCCCCCCCCCCCACCCTTCCCTAGTTATTAACGTTGTGGTTGGTTTACGTCAGTGATTTCGTAAGTATCCTTTCGTTCTCACCAAAGTCAGAGTTTGACAGCTTCAATTCCTCCCTTCCTTTATGCCCATTAATATGTAAGTAGATTAATATTTGTATTATTAGGCAGACTATTATTTACAATGACAGAATGAAAAACGATTTGCTTGACAAAGGGATAAATTTCTGCTGCATTAGACAAAATGTTCTATAATTGAAAATTGCGTGCATGGCCGCGGAGTCTGAAGCTTTGAATTTGCGATAAGACTAGCTAGCTAGCCATCCTGCACGAGCACCATGATGTTGATGTTCGGCAACAAGGCTGCTTTGTTACGTAATTTTGGAAAGGGGGGGGGGGTGTTTAATCCTTTTTTAAAGTGTGAATCGTTTGACAAAAATTTTATCGTATGGATTTGTTTGTTTTCAAAAACTTGAAAAAGAGGAAATTGAGTTTGGGTTAGTGTTAGTGTTCTCTGCCGACGGCCATCCTCTACCTTCAGATGGATTCTAGGCCTAGTGGTCCTAACAATGCAGTTGTTGCAAATGAATCAAGTTGAAGCCTTAGTTTTCTCCCCCTCCCCTAGTAAGAAAAATCCAATATTTAGACCAAGAAATTATGGTTTCTCTTGAATAAATGTAAACAATGCTAGACGATGAAAGGGATTTCCTACCTTAAATTCAAATCCTTTTAATACATATATACAACATAGGTTTGAAGAATCATTATTCTAGGAAAGCAACATTTAACCCAATTTTGAAACCATAATGATAGCTTTGTTAGTTCAAAATTTTCATTACTTGTAATAAAAGCTTTCTTTGAGTACTTTTTTTTACAAAAAAGACAAACAAACATTGTTAGGTCAAACAAACATATTCAGGTTAGTTAAAGAACTTTAAAAAGTGTAATTGAAAATCACTGTGCACTAAAACCAACTCCTGATTACTGTGGGTTCCCTTCCATTACGGACCTAGTAAAATGTTCCTCGCGGGACTTTCAGGCCCATCCCCAGTCCAGTCCCGTTCCCAAAATTGAACGGTATAGCCAAAATCCTAAAACTGACCTACCATAAATCAATTAATTATGATACTAGGAGGGGTAGTCAAGTCATTTCATTGACGGTCGCGATTCAGTCAAACAGGTCGATTATGATTGGTCACGAAGCCGTCGTTTCTCCATAACCGATGTCCAATACGACGGCAAAAACCCAGACAATAGCCTACCCATTCTGACTTCATGACTTACATACCAAACCCAACATCAAATCACCATCATCATCATAATTTTCGTCATTCATACATAGCATACATCATCATGCATCATACATACCCATCAAGGCATCAACCGCCTGTATTCTCTATATATTCTATTCATCGCCTCCAATTTTTCTCTTCAACCAGCTCTTCACTAACCCCTCTCAATCTCCCAACAACCCAAACCTAAAAAAATAAAAACTTAAAATTCAGTCAACCTATGGGTGAGGTTAGTTGGTAGCTCTTCTGTTAGACATTCTCTCTGGTCTTTTCCTTTCAATTCTTCAAAGATTTTAGTTTTATTTTTTGGTGCTTAAATTGTTCTGTCTCTTGTTTTCCAGCAAAAAGAAGGAGCTAAACCTGAAGCCGAGAAGAAGTCGGCCGCTGATGCGGGCGCTAAGAAAGATGACGGCAAGGTCACCGCCGTCTACAAGATTGATATGCATTGTGAAGGTTGTGCCAAGAAGATCAAACGCTCGATTAAGCATTATGAAGGTAATTAATTTTTGTAAATGGATTAAAAAATCATAATAAAATTTTGGAATTCGTCAAAATTGGATAGAAAACTCGGTTCATTTATTGCTTTTGAATTGTCCGTCAAATTTCCGCGTAATAATCGGGGAATTGGATAAGGATTGGACTACGGTGCTAATTTTTTCAACCTAAAAAAACAAGAGAAAGTGATCTTTGTATTTTTAAACATTGGCGTAAGTGAATATCTAACTGAAAATAACCTATCACGGATTGTTGTTGGTGGTTGAAGGTGTGGAAGATGTGAAGGCGGATTGTGGAGCCAACAAACTAACGGTGATTGGCAAAGTGGACCCTGCCAAAATCAGAGACAGATTGGCTGAGAAAACTAAGAAGAAAGTCGACCTTATTTCTCCTCAGCCTAAGAAAGATGCCGCCCCCACCGCTGCCGGCGGTGGTGGTGATAAAAAGCCCGATGCCGAGAAGAAACCTGAAGAGAAAAAAGATGAGAAGAAAGAGGAGAAAAAACCGCCTAAAGAGGTAAATTCACCAAAAAAAAAAAAAGAACTACTGTTTTAGCTTGAGCATGTTATACCTGCTATAAGTCTGGGAAAGTTGAGTTGTTATTATCGGAAATTTTAAGTTTCGTTTTTTATTGATTTGAGTTTTGTATAACTTAATTGTAATTAATTTTTTTGGGGTTACAGAGCACGGTGGTTTTGAAGATTAGAACACATTGTGACGGTTGCATTCACAAAATTCGGAAAATCATCAAGAAGGTCGATGGTAAGTTAATTAATTATGATTAATTTGGAATTAAAATTAAATTAGTAGCGTAAGGTGATGTAATCTTGTTTAATTAATCAAGTGGAGTAGGAGATAAGTAAAGGCGCATTTAATTAATTAAGTGCTAATCGTGATTATTTTAATTAAAACAGGAGTTCAATCAGTGGACGTGGACGGAGCTAAAGATTTAGTAACCGTAAAAGGCACAATGGACGTCAAAGACCTCGTTCCTTATCTCAAGGAGAAGTTGAAACAAAACGTCGACGTGGTTCCACCAAAGAAAGACGACGCTGCTGAGAAAAAAGACGGCGGAGAAAAGAAAGACTCCGGCGGTGATAATAAAGAGAAAGGAAAAGAAGCTGCTGCTGCCGGTGGAGAGAAGAAGGAAGGCGGTGGTGAAGCGAAGATGGAGGTGAGTAAGATGGAGTATCATGGATATGCGTATCCTCCACAGCCAATGTTTTGGTCGGATGGACACGTGTACGGTAACAGCAGTTACGCGGTTGAGGGATATCAGAATCATCCCCATGATTACGGATATGTGAATCATGCGTACATGAATATGAATCAAGGGTATATGCATCCTGGGTATGTAAATCAAGGGTACGTGATGGACCCGCGGCATCACCTTTACGCGCCTCAGATGTTCAGCGACGAGAATCCCAACGGCTGCTCGGTCATGTGAGATAGGAAGGGAAAAAAAATCAACGATGGAGCTGAAAAAGGGGGACAAATGTAAATAATGAACTATCTAGGTAGAGAAACGTAAATACATTATAAACGGAAATAGTAGAATTTTGGAATTATCGAATAGGTTAGTAGTGAACAGGCGAAAGCCGGCTTGGCTAGAATCTGTTAGTTGTTGGGACGGTCGTTGGTTGTGTCTTATCTTATGTTCGTTCTTTTTTTTCTTTTTTTATTTAAATATAGTGTTAAAATTTCATAAATATAATAAAATGAAATATAAAATGTATTTTTATGTTTTGATAAATAGCCGAATATTGGTTCGTTGATGGAGTAGTAAGCGGCAATGGAGAATGCCACGTGGTGCAATTGTTGATTTATTTGAATTTTCTTTGGAAATCTGTCTCAATTGGTAGCGGCACGATTAATGCCTACCTGGTTTATTAGTGGGGAAGGTTTGCACTTACTATTTTGTTTCAACTTTTTGGTTTTTACGACTGTAATCGGGGGAGTTTCCTTGACTAGTGGTACAAAAGTGGATTGTGTTGCATCTGACATTTATAATCCTGTGACGGTGCAAGAAATGTTGGCATAATGAAAATATCTCCAATATAAAACATATATAATCAATCAATTACATTGTCTCATTTTATTTTATTTTATTTTTGTTTTTATTATTTTTTAATACGTTTAATAAGGTAATATTTTTATGTAAAATGATTAAAAATATTTTTAAATTTTATTTGAATTCAATTTTTTTTTGATAATTTTAAAAGTTTAGTTTTTACTATACTTTTAAAATTTTAAAATTTGATATTTTTCAAGAAAGAACAAATTCTGATTAACAATGAAATGGATTCTTTTCTTTATTAATAGGATTAAGTGGATTGTAAGGTGATATCGTTATTTTCAATAAAAATGAAGTAAAATTTGTCGATCATGAGTTGATAATTTATTTGGGGTTCAATTGAAGTAATAAAAGAAACAACAAAAAGAGTTGAAAATTCACCAATTTATGGGAAATATGATCTTGTTAACTAGTAGTTGGGTTTTCATTGTCAAGGGCTATAAGATCCATTGGTGTGTGGTTCTGAGGCCAGGCTTGGATTGCATGGTAGGACATAAAGAAATAACAGACTTTGCAACAAGATTCTATCGTTTACAATTAATAGCTTTGAGAGAAACATAGAAAAAAGAGAACAGATGAAAATTCAAATAATGAAAAAGAAAAAATTCAATACATGTCGGTCCAAATGATGGGATTTTTTTTTTATTGTTTTAAATTTGAATTATCTTTTTATAATTTTTAATAAATTCATTAAATTTAACATAAATAATTTTATTTGAAGCGATCCAAAAAATATATAAATATTAGATAAAATAATATTTTTTAAAATCTAAAAAAATATAAATTAATTTGTAATAATATAAAGAGAATATTCCAGAAGGATTTTAATTAATTATGAGATGAGGAGATGCATTGGTCAAATTGATTACGTTGAATGTTGCTGTCGTTAATATAATTAAGCTATCAGAATAAATCAAATGCAAGATGCACGTTTAATACTAACGAAAAGGCCATGAAGAAAACAGCACCTTTTCATGGGCAATAAAGGCTATAGCAAAGCAAAGGTTTTAAGCTTTTTAGCCACTCACTTACCGTCAGGGTGACGTTTAGAATATTTATAATAATTTTATTGCAATGTTCTTTCAACCTAATTTCAACTAAATAAATTCGCAGAGACAGATTGACTACATGCCTTTAATTGATAATTTAAATTTAATTTACTTAAAGTTTGATCTTAATTATGTGAAAATGACATCACTTAATTTTGACTAATAAAACTTACTTTTTTTTTAAATAAAAATAAAATAAGATGAGATTATTTCAAGATTAATTTATAAGTTATTTATACAAAAAAAAATTCTTGAAAATAGATCAAAATATTATTTTTCTTTTTTCTTTTTTTGTAATTATCACTTTTGAATTCATATTTCTGATATCATTTTCACAGTGAAGGTCAATAATGGTGGATTGAAATATAATTAGACAAGAAGCCTTAACCTTTTTCTTTTTTCCTCCAGCTTTAGGAATTAAAGTATTTCAAAGTAAGAAAAAAATAGATTGTGAAGATCAAACTCTTTTTTCCAAAAGGTTTTAGAACTTAAGAATATTAATCAATAATTTGTCTTTTTTGTATATTAAAAATTTTAAGTTTTTAACAAATGGAAGGAATCGATTAAGGTTATCCTCTCTTCATCATCATGTTCTCGGACATCATCATTGTCACTGTAACCAAAAAGTTCTACCATTGAACGTTTCAAAAACCTGCCGACACCAATTTTTCTTTTTTTTTTTTAAATTAATTTTAGAGAAATAAATAACTAATTAATATGCATTATCCAATAAAAGTAACAACAATGTGAGGCTCTCCGCCTCTTAAGTGTCATGAAATCATGATTCACAGTACGCCTGATAGGAACCCTAACGAGCTGTTGAGGAATCTGTTCATCATAAAAAAAAATATTAATTCAAAATTATTATTCGAGAGATTAATACCTAAAATATTTACAGTATTCTATATCATTTTCATGAACTTCGTATCAGATTTTCAACAGTTCTTTGCAAAATGAAATCTTAAGTGCCATTCGAATGGAGGGATGTCGTCAATTTACATATAAAGCAATGCATCAAATACATACATGGTATGCGATTACAGGTGCGGGATCTAGCGTTTTGGACACCCTTCAAAATTGAAAAATAATAAAATTTAAAAGAAAATTATTATTTGGATACTTTAAAATTTTTTTTGACACTTTAAAAATTAAAAAATAAAAAAATTTTAAGAAAAAATTTTTTTTAAATACCCTCAAAATTTTATCATGAACATTATTTTTATTAACAAAACTATTAAATATTTGAATAATTATATATATATTATAAATAAACATTTAAAAAAATATTGAATTCGTCACTATGTGTTATAAATATGTACATGACATTTATTTTTAAAGATAAAAAAGATAATAATATAAAGATTTAAGATCCTATTTGGTGTAGGATAGAATAAGATGATAATTATCTTATATTATATTTTGTTTGTATCTAAAAAAAGTGATAGGATTATAAGAAAAACTAATCATCCTTTTAGTATAAAATGATTCAATCTTCACAAAATTGAAAAAATTATTTTTAATCTAGGGGATTGAACTTATATATCCTATTATACTTTTAAAAATTATTTTTAATATAAGGAATTGAACTTATATATCATCCTCTTGGTATAAAATGATTCAATCTTTTTAACGTTAAAAAAATTATTTTTAATATAAGGGATTGAATTTATATATCTTATTATACTTTTAAAAATTATATCAATAATTTAAATCTATAAACTTCAAGAATGGATAATTTTGACTAATAAATAAATTATTCTATCTTAATCCTTACACATATTAAATATAATATAAAATTATATTATTTAATTTAATCTTAATTATAATATTATTTTATCTAATTATAATTTTATGTACCGAACATTTTCTAAAAGTACATGACATATAGTAGTATTGTTCTTTTAAGAAAGGAACTGAAAACAATATTTCATGTACATGGCGTGCTTAAAAAATGTCAGTACATTGTGTCGTGTGTATGTATAAAGTATGTATTAACGTATCCTATCAAATATCAATATAGCATGCATTATAAATATCGTGATTGGAATTGAAAATGGAAGAAAGTAGAACTTAAGTAGCTACGTATACCACGTACGTAATAAACAAGATGCATCAAAGTTTTCCAATATGCAAGAAGTGTTTCCTATTAATTAATAATTCCTATATATATTGTTGGCCAACTCAAGCCCATTTTTTTATTGTTCTAAAGACAATTCAAGCATGTCCTACGTTACCCATTTTAAGTCATGACTCATGAGATTATAATCCTTTATATTACGTTGACACGGTGAATTGGATGACCAAAATGGCAGAATAAAAGAAAAATGGAGAAAAACAAAAGCCTAAGTACATCTCATGTCTACTTCTAGCTAGGTTGGACTTTTCCCAAATCTTTCACCTTGTGGCACAAGCATGAAAATAAATAGCTCAATTAATGGTAGTTCAGCTTCCTGAATCTTGTTAAAAAAAATCCTTGGAAAAAAAGGCATCTGGATTCATCCCATGCGAACAATCATTTGACTATGACAATGGGTTTTGAACTTTTGATTGACACTTTTGCAAGCTACTACTGAAATGAAAGGAGAGGGTGACCGTGCCTGTGGAGCATTAGATTAACTTTGCAAAAGGCCAAAAGCTAAGCCATGAAAGACACTTTTGAGGTCGACGATGAGACTTCCACAAATGAATAAATACTGGCTGGAAATGTAAACTCTCTTACCTTTCCTTTGCTTTGCCAAGCAGCAATATAAAAAAAAAAAAAAGGACAAAGGCCGATTTTTGGATTGATAATAAATGTAACAACAATGACCCGAGAGTTTTTTATGCATTCAGAACGGTAACGTATGGTTACGTAGCTGTTTTGAATTGTTTTTGTTGAAAATGGGACAACAAAATAGCCAATGATTCAGAGGATAAGAAACTCACGCATTTGCTTGTATCATCCAATAAGCTTTTTAAGAATAATACGTTTTGATTATGATGGGTTTGATAAACCCTTTTATTCAATTATTATATAATCCTAATAGATTAATTAGTAAGGAGAAAAAGATTTAAATTCGGAGTATAATTTAATTTTTTTGAAGTTCAAATAATTATATTTGTAATTTTTTTATTTTTAAATTATTTTTTATAAAAAAGATTTAAAATTAAATTTTAAATATAAAATATTTTACATGTATTGATAGAATTAAAATTTGATAAATAATGTGATTTTTTTGGCCAAAATAAAAATGTAAATTAGATAGCATAAATTTTTATATCTTAAGTTATTCGTTAACTTGTAATGTGAAAAAATATTCATAAACCTTACATATATTAAGGTGAATTATCTTATATTAAATATTCAATTGAAAATTAATTAGTTGTAATTAGAGTGATAACTTGAATATAAGGCCACAAAAAATTAGATATTTATTAGATATGGCATAACTTATTTTAACAAGTCTTATAATGTGTAGAAGGAGATGGAAGAAGTTTATCACGTGACAATTTGAAACGGACAACAGAAAGAAATCTTGGTTTTGATATCATATTAAGTATTTAACTTAAAACTAATTGACAGTAAATAACATAAATACAAGACTATAAGAAATTAGATATTTATTATATGTGGGATAACATCACTTTAACATGCCTCCATTAAGTACGAGCGAAGATGAAAGAAACTTATTACATGACAGATTTGAAAATGATAATGAAAGAA